GATTATAACTTATCTTTCTCAGGTCACTGGAGGATCAAGTGGTATTGGAAAAGCAGTGGCAATGAAACTCGCAAAATGCGGGGCCAACGTAACGATTCTGGCGCGGAATATGGTTAGACTTGGCGAAATATCGTATGCATAGGAAACCAATGTACAGAAAGTGGGAACCAAATCGTGGTAGTGGCTGGGGGGAGGGGATGGGTCATGTAGCAGCTCTCGTAAGGTCTGACATGAATGGCTTGAAACCCTTTGAGAGGAAAATAGAACAAACAACAGAAACAATGCCCCCCTAGCCCCAAAACAATTACAGCTGCTGCAATGATGACAAATAGAATTACAAGCCTAAGAGAGCTGCTAGTCACTACCGGAGGGGTGAGGGAGAACTGGGAGTCCAATAGTCCATTTCCGTGTTTCCTTGTGCCTCTGTTTCAAAATGAGTCATTGTGCTAAACCTTTCATATGAAAATGAGTTTGATTTGCATGGAAATGAACATGTACATCTAGGTGGCACACATTTCCATATGAATGGTTTCGCAAAGACTCATTTTGACACAGAGGCAAAAGGCAACTCGAAAATGGCCTATTCTCTGATTTCCCTGTTCCCACATCACTGGCAATAAGTGATTCCAGAAAATATCCATACCTATACCACGGTTGGCTTTTTGGAATTCCGTGGGCAAGGGGAGGTTCTTTGAACTGGAAATGCAAAGGCATAGAGGTTAGACGACACAGCTGACAACTGCGGATAGCAACATGCAAGACAAGCATCATTTGATCAGGCATATGTTTTCGTGTTCATTTAAAGAACACTGATAAAGTCTGGTTAGTACATTGGGCTCCAGAGGCCTTAAAGTTGATGAATTTCTTGTTAGATATTTGTTTGCAATGAAAGATGCTTGGTTACCATGCGCCAGTGATATATATTCATAAAGAAACTGCTATGATGGCATCTGATTGAGTGAATATTGTTTGTAATATCAAAAGTAAATTAGGCCAGATTTGCCTATACATGTTCTTATTTTTATAGTAATTAGGACACAAAACAATTGAAATTTTTATTTCTTCATTAGTTTAGTCAAAAACCAATTGCAAAATTGCGACTAAAGAGGAGGAAGTTTTAGTTGCTGAACATTTAGTCATGAAAGCATGTGATCATATTGGTTGCAATATTGCGCCCTGTAGACAGTTGTTTAACTGAAAATTATCAGCAAAAACAACTGGGAAGATGTGGAAGCATAAAATCTCTTTTGTTGGAAGACGTGGGGAGTCAAACAAGGAATCCAGAGGGTTCAAGTTAGGAAGGGAAATCAAGAAGGGAGTGGGGATTAATGATTTTGGAATTTGGAGGGCATGGGGTAGGTCATTTTGGAATTTCTAAACGTAAGGGACCTCAAATGTTCATGCCGCCCATGGCATGGTATGGAAATTTTCTGGAATCACCCAATCTGTTCTTTCTTACATGAAATTATCCACAATTTTACTTTCCTAAAACTAACCAAGGCATATGATATAAACGCATTACGCCTCTCCCAAATCATTGGTATTATATTGGTTAAAGCACAACTTACGTGTAGCTTGAAAAAAAAAAACAAACAAACAAACAAACAAAAACCAAGCACTTATTAATGACTCAATTATGTTCACCCTATTTGAGTTGGGAGATATAACAAGGAAGATTTATACCACTCTCCTCAATTCCTCAAAAATTGAGGCTCACTCTCACTTGATTCATAGTGAGTACTGGATTCTGAACTGATACAATGTTAGAATTGTCTTGTTGAAATATGGAGGTTAAAATTCTATTTTACTAAATTAATGATATAAGTTATTCAAAATAGTGAAGATACTCTGTATCCGTTTGGTCCCAGGGAGTGTTCTCCCAGGTGTTCCAGAAGGATTATAATTATAGGGTGGGATGATCAAGTGAATTGAAGTTCTCTTACCGTACACAAATATCATTTCTCAATGATAGAACGTCCCTCTTTTGTCGTGCAATATCTGTATTGATATTTTTGAGATTTGTTTTTAATGACACTAATGAAACCTTGCAAACTTTTGTCTAGTTGTTATTTGAACTTCAACAACTTGTTCTTGTCCCTTGTCAAAAATTGATTTAAATTCTCCTGTTGTGTCCCCCAACTTCTCTGTGGTCTGCCTAGGGATATACATGTACTGCTGGAAAAGCTAAATGATCAAAAAATAATAGCTCATTGCTGGATAAACAGAACGTATTGTCAACATATCTGCAGTAAAAATAACATAATAGCTGGGTCCTTATATTGATCAAGCCAAATCCTAAGTTTTGTGATGACCCATGCAAAGGTTGGCTAGAATGGGTGTGAGGAGAGCTATAGGTTTGGGAGTTTGAGAATGCAAGTTCCATTTCCCTCTTTTCTTGGCCCGAATTAATGCTCAGTGTATCGCTTTTTTATAGTATAATTAGCAACCTGTTAATATGACTCAGTGGGTTGTGGCAGCCCCACTGTGGTTAAGTTTGGTGAACCTGGCACCCAGAAAGTGCTGTCACTGCAGTGATAAACTTTTTTAGAAACATGTCTGGTTAAATGTCATTGAAGATGTGTACATTGAAGATTATTCATTGTGGTGTAAGATAGGATAGATGAATTTTTCACTCGTTTGTCTCACGATGGAGTCACTTTGAGATGTAGATCAAGATGTTTAGACTGCTATACTGCTAGTCTTCATCAGGCGATGAGGTCAATTGTTGCGTGTCGCTATTTGTAGCACCTTGGTTTACTGCTATTGGTGCATTTTGATCCTCATTATTATTCCAACTTTGTGATGCTGTTCCCTCATAGGTCTGCATTCTGACTGGCTGTTGTGCTTTCTGATTGTAGGTACAGTAAATCCTCGAATTAGCACCCCCCTCGAATAAGCGCCCCCTTCAAATAAGCACCCCTCCTGTCAGCCAAAATTTAAAATAAGTGGCCCCCTCGAATAAGCGCCCCCCTTCCCTCCCCCCATTTTGTGGACAAGTACTGAGACAACAAAGGATGTATAATTTTTGTCATGTGGTATTAGATTTGTACATTGTTTCAGTTTGGGAACACGTTAAGTACTAATGGTGCCACAATTTAAACTTAAAGATCTGCTTTTTTTGTTGATAAACAGCTTATGTTGCGCAGATGATTTATTAAAAAAAAATGATCATGTCAGGCCACCATTTGGGAAAAATTAATTAAGCACCCCCCTTGATTAAGCACACCCCATCTT